AACCAGATCAAGCCTGCTGCATACAAGAGAGCTTACAGAATGCTACATTTCGTCAACTGCACAGATTGCAGGGAACAGGCTACCTCCACGAACTTTCACTTCAGGTTGTTCTACACCCGTCAGACCAACTCTAACCAAGGGGAATGGAACAGATTCAATATCGAGCCATAAACTCTTGCAATCAGTGGAGCAGAAAGACACTACTGAGCAAATACTCCTATTTTCCCTGACGTCTTTGATGCTTATAAACCACAGTTGCAGTTTCTGAAAGGGAAGACCAGGTTTGAAGCTAATTACACTGTAAGGTTGGATAGTATAGCAAACAGAAGTACGGTTGACAAAGAAATTCCAGATCTGTGGAACCCTCCAACAAGACTTTCTAATGGGGAAAATTACTGCCTATTGAATGAAAGGCACTGACACTATTAGAGCACTAAAGTTCACTATGTCAATGGTAAATACAGTGTAATTTTTTCCTTTTCATTCTATTCAGGTTTAAAAACCTAACAAAAGGTAAGCTTGTTATCAAAGTTTAAATCAAATCCACTGTTAAGGTCACCTATTTCTGTCACACCTCTTAATCCAGCAAACAGTTCTTAACACCACTGTTACAGGATGACCCCAAAAATCTTAACATTCTACAGAAAAAGTTAACAGATGCTGTATTGACAAATTACAATTTCTAGCCCACAGAGATTAGGTATGAAGTGACAGCCCTAACACTAATGCTCTCTACGTCTACTTATGCACAGCTAATGAGATTTTTTGCTTGAAATTCAAAATTTGGCCTGGGATCTCTGCGTGCCATTTTTACAGATACTTTCTTTTCATGGGCTCCAAATAAAGCTTTTCTGATATTTTCTCATAGTCACTCCAAAAAATAGTTTGACTTCCTTTTTTTTCCATTCCTTCCAGCATCAGCACATCTATAACCTTTTTTTTTTTCCCCAGAAAGGTTTCTCTTTCTCCCCCTCCAAGTTTTAAAAATATTACGTCAGCCTTACTTGCTTCTGTAGGCAGAGGTCTGTGCCCAGCAGGGGCATGCAGGCTCCCATAATACAAACCAGTTCTCATCAGTCACCCCCTTCCTTTCCCTGTGTGATCTGATGGAGGGGAGCCCAGTGGATGTTTTAACAGCTTGGATATGCCCAGAGTTTATATGGAAATAAAACAAAACAAAAGTGTGCGTCCTCCTGATCCCCTGCTGCTTGTGCCGCAGGCACGTCACACCAGAGGGCACCAGCGGGCTTCTCCCATCTACGTGACAAGGCGGCGGCTGCCTCTTCTTCCAGCGAAAAGCAAACCCCACACCTCTCAATTTTCAAGTCCCTATTTCCCTCTCCTCATCAGTCATGCTCACGGTTATCCCACATTTTAGAGAATTTTTTTTTTTTCAGAGGAGCACCTAAGGAATGTCATACTGGAGAGAAACATCCCTATGCTGAAGGGCTTGCTTTATCTGAATAAATATTTTACAAAGCTCAGATCATTGTTACTGCTCAAAACACAAACACATTTTGATCCAATACAGTGGCTCTGTCAGAGAGAACCATACTTGGGTGTGCAATCTTTATTCTCTTTTGTTACAACAATAATTCCAGCATATAAACAGGACAGAATGATGAAAAAGCTCCGTTCTCAGTGAATAAGGGGCTCAAAATCTATTTTGTTATAAAAAGCTAAATTTGTAACTAACTTCAGTGTAAGTGAGATAAAAACAAGCTAGGGAAAAAGAGTACCAGTGTCTACGCACGTGTTTTTGCGCTACACAACTTACCCTGACAATAAGAATCCACTTAATAAGAGACAGACCGAACCCAGAAATGGCCCCATATCGTCCTGCAGCTGAAGTAGTCAGACAGAAAGACAGGAAAAATCCAATCCAGTTGAAGAGGAATGCCACTGAGAAAGCAGGAGAAAAGCAGCAGGTCAAGCCCTCTTTATATTCCAAGGAAAAAAAAAAACCAGAACCATAAAATCCTTGCACACAGGTTTTTCCTGGTGCTACATAAACGTAAGTGTGCAAATAACTAGCTGAAAAAAGTTCCATCATGTACTTACTGAAGAAAGTTAGCATGAAAATGCCATCATTTCCTATCCTCAGCTGGTCGGTGTCATCAAAGTCATCCCGAGTCACAAAGTCGTCATCCTGCAAATCAAAGGGAGACAAAATGTGGGTGGATTTAAGTCATTCCAGTCCATACAGCAATCCCAATTCTGCGTGAGGCTCTTCAAGAAAGGGCCAGCAAATTGTATAGCCCTCAAAAAGCAGTGTCCAATGGAGGGATACAAAATGCTTCATTTACATTCAAGGAAAGCCCCCCATGGGGGCAGGGGAGGATCATAACTCTCAAAAGGCTCCAAATGCAAGCAGGAAAAATTCCTGCTTCTCATCCTGAGATGATGCAGGGCATGAAATATTATGTCACTAGCTGTATTTATTTTTTTAAGATAGTCAAGACTGGGCATGTTTTTGTTCTCACTGTAAAGAATTCCCCTACTTGTCACAAAAATTAAACTTATCATCTCAGCAAGGAATTTGGCTTCTATGAAGAAGTATAACGAGCAGTAAACATCCAATGCTAGCAGGGGGGGAGGAAAAGGCTGAACAAGAGATAATGTTGGAAAAAACAAAAAGAAATAAAAAATGAAAAAATAATTATTCTGACAGAATGGTTTTATCGTCCTTGTATCAGCTACACTGACCTCTGGAAAAGTCAACTAAGCAAGCAGCGGGAGTATCAAGGGTAGATATGCTAGATGGCTGAACAATTAATCCTAAATCTTTTTTTTTTTTAAAAAGAAAAAACAAAACAAAACACAAAAAACAACAAACAGTGACAGTGCACACAGATACAGTACAGTTCCCCTGTCAGCTTGCCAAATGGATCTGGATAACACATGCTGGCATTACTGAGATGTCTTACATCATCATAGCCGCCCAGAGGAAAATTAAAAAAAAACAACAAAGTTAGCCACAGAACTCTTGGGAGGGTGTAATATCACCACCCCAGAAAGCTTTAAAAAAAAGAAGAAAAAAAAAAAAGGCATGACACTTGATAATCAGGAGTTAAACCAGAAATTCTACAGAAGAAATGCGAAGGACATACAGCCAGCCAAGCGTACTCACCCTTCCAGGAACCAAGGGAATTGTGGCTTCAGCCTTGGTTCTCTCTGCCTCATCATAACTAGGCAGTGTTGTGGCCACGTTGTAAGATGGAGGCTTAGGAAATCCTGACTCATCCTTGTAGTCAAAATAAGCTGCAAAAAAAAAGTTATATAGAAGGTAGCTTGTCAGTTCCTTAAGAACACCATGTTGGGAGTGAGAAGCGTTTCAGATGACTTCAAAAGACCCCGGGATCCCGGACTGTTGAAGCCTGCCCCTCCTGTCCCCTCCCCACCCTTCTAGCCTCTTGCCATTCCAAAACAGAAAGTGAAAACCACGGGAGCACCTCATCTAATACAAAGTAATAAACAGAACACTACTTCAGCATGCCTGGCTGTACTTATTTTTAAAACAATGATGCATGCCGTGTCTCTCCTGACTTCAATAAACAGAAGTAGTCATATTTTCAAGTCCAAGTGGTTTGAGTGACTCAAAAAAGGATCACTGCAAGCCTCAGGTCACTGGTGACCAATTTTTCCACAGAGACTCCAAATTGTTTTCTGATGGAGGGGAAAGGGACTGGAATAAAAAACAAACATAGCATTTCTGAGCCCCAGTCGCTGAGACACACTAAGGAACCAGAACTAATGGGACATCTTCACAGTTAGTGTGCCAAGGCAGGACACTCAATAAGCAGCTGCAGAAACACAATATTCAAACTTCTGTCCAAAGCTGGCCAGCTGTTTGAGAGACTGACAGTATGCTGCATTTGATTCACAAACCTTATTTGAACAATTGACTATGAAAGTTCTGGAGGGAAAAAAAATGAGATGATTTACCTAAGCCAAAATACTCTGATATATAACCAACACAAAGCCAGCTGTTTTGATAAAAGCTGTAAGTGTGCTACATGACAGTATGATGATTCCGAAGAAGTATAACCCTTATGACCAAGCGCTTAGTTATTGAAAACTGCAGAAAGAGTGAATTCTTTAATCCCTTTTAAGTAACAAGTCCTTTTTGGAAAGAGCACAGCATCATCCAAATGCCAAATAATGAGAGGGGAACCACAAATCTTCACAGCACTTTGATTTTAACTGTCTTCAATCTACTAAAAACACTGTGAAATGTAACTTGAACACCACTTGATGGGATGACATCAGATGAATGTAGCCAAAATGCATCTTCTAAACCACAAGTAACAATAGTCTCTTTGGATCAATTCTCATCCTTTGCAGCCTCAGTAAGGATGCTGCAATGCCATCCATCAATAAGGAGAACAATTAAGGAGGTAAGAAAGAACAACAGAGGAAACATAGCTACTTCCTTTCAGTTAAATTACCTGTGTTCTCTGCAGAAATGCTGCTGTAAGGCGGAGGAGCATCGTTCACCACTGGTGCAGTCTCGCCTGGCTCCTCTTCATTCTGCAGCTGAACAGACCCACACGCAAGAGAGGTTAACAGGGTTTCTCAAGTTCTGTGAAATTACCCCTGTAGTTTTAATTGCACACGACAGACTCTTCTGGAAGAAGACTGCTCTGTGGCACCATGGGACGTTCAAGCAGCTGCTCAGCTCCCCTCAGAAGCACTCCTACTTGAAATGATCAATATGCCATCTCAGTTTTAATGTGTTTTTAAATCACATCCTCACACACCTGGACTTCAACAAAGCACAGCATACATCTTTCCAGTACCTTTCCATTTCCCTGGCACTTCCTCAGATTCCTCAGCTCACACTGCTTAGGAGCTGCAGTTGCATCTATTTTAGTCAAGGAAATAGCAGCAGATACCCAACAAAAGACTCCATTGCTGCCTGTGGCTTTGCTAAGGAAGGGGGTTTTTCATGGATACATTACATAATGATACATATAAGTATGAATCTTGCCATTTCCCTTCAACTTTTCACACTGTATGACTGAAAAGGAAACAGTTTATTTTGTGCACTGTGCTTCCCACAGGCTCTGTATAAATAACCATAGAGCTTATCAAATATACAGTGTCACTTGCATGAAGCAGGTATGCAAAGGCAGGCTTTGATCAGAGAAGCTGACAATACCAGGCCAGAAGCGTTCAAGGCAGAACACACCAGAAAGGAATTTACAGATCAGCTGCCATCTAATTTTTTTCCTCCTTCCGTTTCTCATCATCTCATCAACAAAGAGGTTTTCTGCAGAAAGACAACTCATTTCAAAAAAGCAAAAAAACACCTTGGGACGGAACCACATGCCTAAACGGAGAGGTACTACCCTCTTTTGCAATCACCACTAAACAATACCAACCCTGCAACTTCTTCCTTAACATCTTGAACTATCCGTCCTGCACACCGCTGCTAATACTCCTGAAGCCATCCACGACATTTTGCTTTGTTTTCTTTGGAGAGACATGTTGCCATTCAAGTCCTTCCCAAGATTTAATGCGAGGGCAGGTGGGGATATATTCTTATTTTACTTGTATGTCTTATCAGGAAAGAAAAAAAAAAAAAAACAGCTCACACTTCTAAATGAAGGTCTTATTTTATACGTAACTGTTCTGCGTCTTGGGGCTTTTCTGCCTAAGATCAAAGATCAGACTACATCCATGACCTCTGTGAAAGTCAAAGCCAAAACTTTTTCAGACATTTTAAGTGCAATTCATTGGACGTTTGCATCCAAACCACAGCTGCATGTCTGAACTGTGAGACATCCGAGTCCCACAAGCTTGCTGAGAAGAACGTGGATTGTTTTATTTTCTCTGCCATTAACCGGACAGCTGCACACCTCCATCAGCTGCACAACCACAAGCATGCACAGAACAAGTAACTGCAAGTCAGTGGTTCATCGCACTGTGGCCAGACACAATGTCCCCGCTGGCTTTCCACCTCCTCAGCGCAGAGACTGCCGTCCTCCCCACCCTGCCAGCGCAGCCGATGTATCATAGCTCCCTACGCCAGTTACGTCAAAAATTCTTCAAACACACCTGCTGTTAAAGGAGTTTAACCTAGTAAGGTTTAAATGACTTGGGTTAGCAGGCGACGACACGAGCAGTTCTGCTGGCAGGTCCGAGGGGTCGGCCAAGAGGCGGAAAGGCAAAGAAATGACACTGGGAAGCACTGGAAAAAATTCAGTAGCGCTGTCACCTGCTCCAGCTGTTCCAAAACAACAGACCATCACAGAAACAGGACTCTGTTTCACCATCAGATGAAGATCACCTTGCTAGTCTAACAGCAAGCCTCCATCCTCTCCCCATTCATATTTTCTAGACAGGAGAGGTGGAAAAGAGAGGGAGCTGGTCAGCCCCAAGCTTTCTGGGTAAGAACTCCCCGCACGGCACAAAGCTGAACCACTTCCTTGAAGAAGGAGAAATTAATTAAGTGATCCAGATGAAATTTTAATCCGTATTACACCAAGAGCACCTCCTAGCACAAATGCTGTGGCTGCCAGCAGGTGACATCTAAAACGCTGGCCCCTGGCCAGATGTGAACCCACACCAGATCAATCCCTTTCTGCGCCCCAGGAGCAAGGCCGCGCACTACACAGGGCGGAGGTGGCAGGTACCTGCCTCGATGGCTGCAGCTTTAATTAGCCTCAGGGCACCAGGCAATTAACACGATGAGCTGCAGCAATTCTACAACAGCAATGCATCTTAGAATCATAGAATCGTTCAGGTTGGAAAAGACCTTTAAGATCATCGAGTCCAACCGTTAACCTAGCACTGCCAAGCCCACAACTGAACCATGTCCCTAAGCACCACATCTACACGTCTTTTAAATACCTCCAGGGATTTGGTCACCCCCCCCCTCCCGGGCCCAGCCTGTTCCAATGCTTGACAACCCCTTCAGTGAAGAAATTTTTCCTAATATCCAATCTAAACATCCCCTGGCGCAACTTGAGGCTTTTTCAAACCAGCTAACTCAGCGTGAACCCTTACCAAGAAACAAAAATGCCTTATTTTATAAACCCCATGGACTTCAGTCATTAGAAGAAAATGCAAACTAACTTATGAAGTAATTGCCTATTAAAATAAGCTTTAAAAAAAAAAAAAAATCTAAAGAGAGAGCACTGCTGCAGAAATTCAAGAACAGCCTGCACACAGCACAAGAGGGGCAACCTAAGGGATAATCCCGTAAAACGCAGAGAGTCAAACTAGCTGATTCAGTCTCTCCCAGCTCTGGAGTTTATGAATTCTCAGAAAATGCTCCACCATGCTTATTTTCAGTCTATCCATGAAAATTCAATACTTCACCCCTTTTTTTCTTCTGCCTATACAATCCTAGTCTATTAACGAAGGAAGAAAGGCTCTGACACCCTAGGGACGCTCTCGGGATACCGCATGCCCTGCGTTACCTGCTCTCCTAGTGAGGGGGGTGGCAGAAATTAAAACCCTGATGTTCATAAGAAAGACGACATGCACAACCCAAAAGTACAATCACCAAGGAGGGGGAAAGGAAAGCACGAGATGTGACAACACTGCAAGAGATGAAATCAAAGAGGACACGGATAGTTGAGCATAGTATTAATTCCTACCACTGGAATTCTTACCATGTTCTTCTTTCCATAGTAAAAAGAAATGCATATTCTTACAACTACCTTGTGTGGGAGAAAGCAAGCTGAACTTACTGCTAGCTTCAAACCACTACAATTCAGGTAATGACACAAAAAACGTAGTTGCTTTTTAAAGCTGAACTAGAGGCTGTAGGAGGTATACAGCTATAGAAAACAGATTTTTCTTCTAATGGACAAGGTACACAAATGCCTTCCAGCCTTTTTAATGATTCCAGGCATCTAAAATTCAACTAAGTGCTTATTAGCAAAGCAGGAAGGGTTCATGTGACAGGAAGAATGAGTCATCAGGTCTCGGATGGCCCAGCACCGCTGCACTGCCCTCACCCTGCGTGCTCCATCTGCCCTGTGTGTTCCATCATCTGCCCTGTGCAGCGCCGGGTACGCACCACGAGGAAGGCTGCGCTACTCGGGTTTGCAGGCAGTTCCCCCTCGGGCCACTGCCGAGAGTCTTCAGAACCCGGAGAACCTGATTAAAGTAGCGTTTGGCTGAAGTCTGTTTTGCTGAGGCTGTGGGGTATTCTTTCTTTGAGTCACTGATGGATTTTAGCTTTTAAAGCACGAGTCTTGTATTTGTGGCATTAAAAAACAGACAGTCTTTACAGTTATTAAAACAAAAGTTTGGCTGTGATTTTTTCACCGGATTGCTAAAACAACGGAAAGTTGCCTGACAGAACGGGGTAAGACCCAGGGACTTTTATTTTCCAAAAGACACCATCAGAAGCTTGGGTCTGAGAACAACCGCCTCTGTCTGCCGCTTCGCCCTGCTTGAGACATATCACGTGTAAATACACGCAGCACAGCAGCACTAAAGTTCAAAACTTACAAAACGTTTTGAAGTTATTTCCACATAAACTTTGAAGAAAGTATTTCCAATAAACGTATTTGTTAATTCTTCCAAATTTTCTAAACTTAGCACATGGGCTGCTGACACAGCTCTGAATCCCCTTGCCCCAAGTCCTTAGGCTACATGCAAATATTCTTTATAACTAAATCAGGATTACTACAAGCTTCACCTTAGCAATATATCATCAGCAATATATTAACTCAGCAGTATATCATGAATGTTTACTGCATTTCAGTTCTTATTTTATGTCCTGGCACACAAGGTAGAACTGCACAGAAATCCCAGAGCAATGCTAGAATGAAGATAACTCTAATCAGATCTCATTTTTGTTGTTGCTATGGTTTCTGTGAGATTTCAGAAAGGCAGATATTTAGGCTAATGACAGAAAGAGAATCAATACTTTTTAAAAAGGTGACACGATTGATTTTTTCAGAACAATGAAATCATAACCTTTGCAAGCCAAACGTTAAAAAAAAAAAAAAAAAAAAAAAAAAAAGTGTATCACTACTAAATTTGAGAGTACTCCAGACAGTACTGTCCACAAAACGGTTACACTGCACTCCCATTGCAACACCCCTTATTTTTCTCCTTCCACATCTTTGGCCTTTTGGAAGCAAATGAAAGTTTCTGCCAACGCTGAAGGAGAAGAGAATTATGTTTATTAACTTATGCTTCACTTTAAATGTACCCTGATTTGAAATCCTGACTTTTGCCCAATGCTGTTGCAGATTCTTATAACTTAGTATCAGCTTATTAATAATAATGATAAGCTATTAGACAAGTCAACCCACGTGCATCAGCCCTCTCCTTGATGAGCAAATAACTGTTTTCTCCCATAGGCACTTCCAGTTCATTTCACCAAAGGAGAGTGACAGCCCTGAACAGCGTGTCTACCCCAGCTACCTGTGCTCAGGCACGGCATGGTGACACGCTTGGCAGTCGCGCTGTCTAAGCAAACCCTCCCTCCAGCTTCTCCCTGCACCGGGAGATGCCGATGCTCCTGCCCAAGCCTCACGCTGGGGAACCGATTCTCGCCAGGGCCCTGAGTGCAGCCCAGCTCTGGGGAGCGACCTCCCAAGGTCTC